ATCGATAAGCTTTTTTTCTATATCGCCCAGCCCTACTGATAACTATTCTCTTATTCTGATGCTATTGCAGAGTTCTGGAAAAATGCTTTTGGACTCGAACCATTTTTATTCTTTTTCTTTGCCTTTGTTTGATGAAATACTTAAACCATTTGTTTATAGGTTGTTGAGTTACACATACCACACCTTTAAAGACATACTGGAGTATATTCTAGTTGTTTCAGTAGAACCTCAAATCTGTACATTAGCTGCCTCTGTAAAGGTAAAGTGACATCTCACAGATTGTTTTAAACTAGCATGTTTCTGTCTGCAGATCCTGGCCCTCCACCTGCACAGCCTGAGGCCATGCCTGTGGCTCCCGTTGCTCCTCCCGCGCCTCCAACTGGACGAGTGTCTGAAAACTAAGACAAACAAACAGAAGAAGCACACGTGCATAAAGCTAAAACTCTGTCTCTGACCTTTGCTTGTCGCTAAGTTTTTCTCCCTCACATTCAAGCAACCATAAACTTTCTCCCTCAGACACACAGTCCCACAGTCTGGGCTCCTTGGCAAAAAGGACCCAACTTTACAAACACATGCAGACTTCCTCTCAGGGCACAGCGGCGAGGTTCATCTAGTAATAAACACTGTTTTACACTCTGAGCAAAAGCGAGGCTGGAGACAACGATCCTGTGAATAGAAAAACCAAACAAGGAGACAGAAAATATTTTTGAAAAATCCTCCTTCTCTGGTGATTATTTTCTTTCTTCTAATGACACTGTAACCCTTTCCAGAGTAACAAAGGAAACAGGAAAAAACTCACCTGTAGCCCTCTTTTACCAATAAATATAAATCCTAAGGGGGGTGCTTGTAAGAACTGGCATCCAGTCTGTGTGCCGAGTAGCCTGAGCTGTGAGATGTGAGGCAGTCACACGATTCAGAGGATGCTGTGATTAAAAACCCAATGGATCCATCCCACCCTCACTCCTGCTGAGTACCTACCTCTCGCTCCTCTTTTAATGATACACTGTAGCTCTGTCTGTGAAGACAGAGGGAGGTTTGACTGTAGTCTGTAGTTACAGAAACTAAAAATATAAAAAGTTACCTGTAAATTAATTGCCTTCAGGCAAAACCCTGATAGGTCAAACGTTGCTGGAAAGACTGTTATGTTTCTTATCAGGTGTGTCCAACATTCTTTAACCCAAGCAAAGCCTGTAGATGTAACAAGCTGGCCCTAAATCACTTTGTGTTCCAAATTAAAGGAAATTTCAGAAAATTATGCAATAATTTTTGAGATGAATCAGTGTCTGCAAAGTTTCCTCGATCATTTTTTTTCATGAGGTAAGGTGGCAGCGTTCTTCCTTTTAAGTAAAAGGAAAACCTGCATCGCTGCTCTGACCTTTCGAGAAAACTTTCACAAATTTGGTCATTGAGTTAATTGAATTTATGGTTCAGTTTTTAAGCTAATCCAAGTTGCATAATGACCTCATGTAGGGTTAAATTCAACTAGCAGCATTAACACTATTTAAATTTATAAAAGTTAGAGCAAACAACTGAAATTATTGTTTTTCCGTTTCCTTAAATATAAGATTTCATGTTTGAGACCGGATTAGGCCACCAAAGGATTGGCAGATGGTAAACATTCCTCCCTCTGTCTCAGCATCCAGAGCGCTGCAACACACACACAGAAATGTAAGCTAAGCTCAGGCAAACACTGGAGGCTGCATGCACACATGCACACACACATCCTGGTTAAACCTGGCACTGACCCTCACACACACACCCACACACACGTCAATCCTCTGATGACCTTTACACAGTGAGAGACGCTGCGTTTCTGCTCGAACCAGACCAAGCTCTTCCTCAGCTCTGCGGGAGTTCCGTTCGCTCTTTAGGTGCTGATACTGTAGCTATCAACTCCCTCTTCCTCACTTTCCTCACGCCTAGC